TCTGCAGACAGCTGTGTCTGTAATATGCATCCTGGGAATTTAGTGTGCTGGAAAGAATAGGGAATTGCACCTTGTTTCAAAAACAGAACTTTGTATACTGTATTCTGTGGATATTTGTATAGCATGGGTGTGTGTATACACATACACACAAAATACCTGGTGTGAAATCAAACCTGGTATGAAATTTTTCACACGAGGTTTCATTTAGGAAGGAGTGGGCTGTAAGGGACATTGTCACCAGACAAGCTAGTATGGATCCCAACTGGATCAGAATACATACAAATAACTGTAACCTAGTATCTTGTATCTAGTAAGAAAGCCTACTTGCAAAATATCCTAGACAAGCACAGCTCCCCTCCTTGAGGTTAAATAAACAGGAAGGAACTTGCTGGAGGCTTTGTTCTTTGAAACTTCCTGGGGACAGAGCTGGCTGGGGAATCCTTAAGCCCACTCCAGGTTAGAAAATATTAATTTTCCCAGATTTTAAGAAGGAAAATCACATGCAGACTTCTATGTAAAGTAAGTAATCAGAACACATATTTTATTTTGAATGTGCTTGATTCTTTGCCCAACTCTTCACAGCTGAAGCTCAGTCTCCATTTTGGATAACCTTGCCTACTGTCCCTTTGCTCTAAGCCTTCTTCTCTAAGCCCAACATCCAACTGTGTTTTCCTTGTTGCTGTATGCTTTCTAATTAAATACATACTAATTTCAGCAGATATATTTGGTGTCAGTTTGTGTCCTGGGCTAATATGATTCAGTTATTGACTTTAAACTTCCCCTGTGCTTTTCAATTTCATTATTTTGGAGTCTTGCTTTTTGGGGGGTCCCTGTTTAGTGCCAGAGGGAAACACAGCATCAATAAATACACTGCCTGGGCTGTCTTGGCTGGTTGGGGCAGGCTTATGGGAATGAGTAAGACTCTCATGGCAGTCTCCTGGGAATAATCAAACTGTTTGTTGCTGTTGTTTATTTGTTTCAGCATCCTCATTTGAATTCTTACTTTATCCTCTGTCAGTTAATTTGTTTATCTACCTTTCCATTTCTCTCCCATCCCTTCTATCTACAACATGGTTCAATTTTTTATTTGGTTTAAAGATAACTTTTTTTTTCATTTCCCCCTTCACCCCTCCTCCTGTATTCATTTCTCTTTGATTTTCTTTATTGGCCTTTTTCCTTTCTTTTACCATTTTAATCAGTGCCCCAACCCCTCACCAAATCCTATGTAGCTCCTTCCTATAACAAACATTTTATATACATTCATGTTACAGGAAATGGAGCTACAATTTTCTGAACAACACTGCTGAACTGGGAATAAACTGAGACAAGCCACCTACCACCCTCCCTGCTTACATCAAAGAGAGTTCAGACGAAAATCTAGCCCCAATGCAGGCTGGATGGTTTTTGTATAGCCCTACTATTATATCCCAGCCCAACTCATTTTCTGATTCTCCTTACTTAAAGAAGAACTGTGTGGAATCCACTTTACTGGCCTGGCTGCCAGACACTTCGCAAACTACAATGCATAGGATTGTTACCTTTTTCTTTTGCATGCTGGAGAAAGAGTCCAATAACAGAACTAATATTTTTCACAGCTGGAAAAAATCCTTCTCTCAGCCCTATTTGTCCTAGACGACCTATGAAGTATCAAAAGAAAGAAGCAACTGAAGTTTATTTCTCAATTATCTGCTCGACCTCATGCTTGTACTGCTGTAAGCTGCAGCTGGGGGCTTATGTAACTGAATTGTCCCACATAGTACTAAAGATGAGATGATGCTGAAATGGCATTCTGCCCATGTTAAAAAAGCCTGTTTCCAAGTCTTTTCCTTGGCAGTTTAGACAGGCTATGGCTCATAAAGTGCTGATGAGGCCTTGAGCCTACTGAGGAAAATGGGAAGGAAACAGAAACCTTAACATTTCTAGTGTGCAACCATATTTACTCTTTGGAATCTGACGACCATTCTGTCATTATTAGAAATAGGGGAGAAAAAAAAAGACCACAGACTGCCATAGAGATTGTATATGCAGTTCCCTTTTCTTTATGCTCTGATGGCCTTTGGGGGGGGACAACTACTCTACTCCTTAATGCTAAGAGATTGCATTAAGGATACAGAAGCCAGCATCACCTCAAGCTGATTATTGAATCAGTTCACCTAAGAAGATGTAAATAAAATGGGAAGGTGTCCAAGAGGTGTCCAAGAGCCAAGGAAGGTGTCCAGAGAAAACTTTACATACTCACCAATAAGTCTGAGCACTGTTGCTATGATTATATTAGAAGAGGAAGAAATGTTTCCATTGCCATTCCTGTTCTTTATCCAATTATCCATGATTGGCCACAGTTCTTTACTATGGAAGAAAATGGACAATTACATGCACATTCTTGTTCGAAGCTAGTATGGCTTGCCACATTTCTTTTGAAAGACAAAAACCTTTTACTTGAGATAATTTTAACTAAAGCTAGCACAAAACAATAATGGATTGCTGTTAAAGTTGCCCATCTCACTTTACCCTCACTGCTGTTAGCCATCCATTCTCTCCTGTATAGAGCCAAGATGTTGGAAAGCCTCTTTATTCCATTCCTTTCCTTAACATGCAACCAGTTACACTGGCTGATGTTCAAGCTTTTTGGGGGGATGACAGTAGATACTCGTTCGCAGTTAGCATTGGGAAAGAGGAGTTGAAGAGCTTGTCACGTGTGCTCTGGAATGAATTGCTGAGGTGCACAATAATGGGAAGATTCTGCCAAAGCCTTTATACATCTTCACGACAGTGAAAAGCTGGGCATCTAACTAGCAGCTGCCTGCCGCAGATGGGAAGGTGGCCATGGAGATAAGTGGGTGGGGAATTCTGGGAGTTGAAGTCCATCCAACGTAAAGTTGCCAAGTTTGAAAAACACTGCTCTAAAGTGGTATGTAGAAATATAAAAGTAAATATGGTACCTTATGATATGATCGTGGGTCCAGCACCACTTTTGATATGAACATAAGAGGTCAATAGCATACACATATTGCCACGTATTCTCTTTCAAGTCTTCTCCATATTTTTCACTCAGCTGAAATTCCATTTGTGGACACAACTGTATTGCACAAAGCAGGCTGGAGATCATCATGCTAATATCTACTGGTGCACTCTAAGGGAAAAGAAGATAATAAAAGCACAAATTTGGCTTAAACTACATTTCCACAACATAAAAATATATGGAAGTACTTTTGGGGAATTCTGACCTCAGGGGATAAAAAACATTTGTGTTTCTTTGAAAAGTATGCAACGCCCCCCCAACAAACAAACAATCCAAACAACAACAACAACAACAAAACTGTAACAAAGTGAATTATGTACTGTAGGGATACTAAAAAGAAAAGAAATCTATAATTGCTTTGTCAAATAACAAACCTGCATTTCTAACTTAGGGGAATAAGTCCATTCATGTTCCTTTTTAGGAACCAGGATTTGAGCAACAGATAATCAAAAAAGTATGCAACACTGCCCTTTATACCTTAAAAGGTAAACCAAATGTGGTTCTGATCTTATATAATCACTAAGTAATGAAAATGGAGTCTGTCCGCAGTCTGTCCTTGCATTATACAGAAAGAAAACATCAAATATTTGTACCTCTTCCCAACTGAGGTAGGTTTTCAGGCACTTCAACACCTCTCCTTTTGCACGCTGTCTAGCTACTAACTGGATTGCTTTGTTGATCACACTTTCAGAGGAGAATACTTCACTCCATATGTTTGTAATAAACAATATCAATTGGTCAGATCTTGGGAAATCTGTCAGGGAGAAAGAAATTAAAGCAAAAGAAAAAGAATTATGATTTCCCAGTTGTAGAGGGGGGACCCTTAAGACCAGGAGACTGTGAGTTCTAGTCCTGCCTTAGGCACGAAAGCCAGCTGATTGACTTTGGGCCACTCATTCTTTCTCAGCCCAACCCACCTCACAGGATTGTTGCTGTGGGGAAAAAAAAATAGGAAGGAGTATTAGGTATGTTTGCCACCTTGAGTTATATATAAAAAGGTGGGATAAAAATATAATAATAATAATACAAATGAATGCAGTGTATCCTTAATCCCAAAGAGAAATGCTCCTATTCAGACTGTTGGCAGCCAGCCATCCCTTCCTTCAGTGATAATATAAGACCCAGGGTTTAAAAGAGAACTGGGTAACTGGGTGATCTGCAGCCCTCAGTGCAACGGTTGTGGTCCCTAGAGCACTCCAAGCTGCTAAAAATTTCTGATGATCCAGTTTTATTAAAATAAGGGGCAAGATGAGTGAGTTGAGCTTTGCAACTACTCCAATCCTTACCCTTACAATCATGAAATATTTTAATAGAGGACAAAATTCCAACCCTTCCTTCGAAGAGATCTCATCTTGCCACCAGCAGCTATCCCTATGGCTGTCAGAGTCTGAACATTTTTTTAAAAATGAAACTCCTCAAGAGCTGCCCACCCAGCTTTTAAATAAAAGCAGGCCCCCAGTTTGGACCTCTGAATGGGCTCACAATTAGCTTCTCATCCCAGGCTAAGCAGAAGAAAGTGAGGAAATCATTCTGACCTAAAAGTCCGCAATTCGAGCAGGATTAGATTGTTCCTGACTGAAAAAATATGGTTCAGGATTGAGAATTTTTTAAATGAATGCCAATCAAATGATCTGAAGCAGCACACTGTCTGTTAGTGTGTTATTCACAGGAAGTTTTTAGTCCTATTTCTCTAACTAACTAACCACAATATCTAGTTAATCTGTATGCTTCTGAATCTTCCAGATTCATGTTAGCTTGTAACAACATATAAAACCCAAGTTATACTATACCTTCTTTAAGCAGAGTGTAGCAAAACAGGCGTGCTTTTTCTAAGTCTCCAAGCTGACGGCATATTCCAACATAGACCCTGCAGAGGGACTGAATATAATTGTGGCCCAAGGACATCTTCTGTTTTTTCAGCTTATTTAAAATAGCCTGTAAAGCTGGCTCAGCCAAGAACTATAAATGCAAAACAATATTTGCTTTTGAGTTTATTTCAGAAAGTATTGTTATAATGAGAAATCAATACCAAACTGAACAGCGATCTTCAGAACTAGCAATTTATCATATACAAGAATTGAACAAGAAAGAATAGCCTAGGGCTGAGAAAAGATGCGACTGCTTTAAAAAGTTGTCGACAGATGTTACATAAATGTCCCTCTGTGCTCCACAGCATCTTTTCCCCTTTGAATCCAAAGCACTGCACAGCCCTGGTTTGCATCTCTCACTAAATGCAATACAGAAGAATCCATAGTTTGGACTTTTCTCCTGCATTTTTACTTAGATCCAATGTCAACTGTGCAAGAGCTATGGTCACATAAAGGACTTAAATAAGCAGAACTCACTAGCCCTCTTCTTTTGCTTCTAGCAACTACTGTATCATGATTTATGGTTTTCAAATATAGCAATTGGTGCTTCCTATTTCCATTTTCCGGTGGCACCAAAGTATGGAAAAGTATTTTAATTGACAGGGTTCAATGTTATACCCTCTATATTGCTGGAGGCAGCTTTAAAATCATCCATTTGTGGAAAGACATCATCCATGAAAGTCAAATGGCACTGAACCCATAAAGTATCTGCTACTATACTGTAATTTTCATTATGGATCTCGAGAACTGCATCCTTTCCTTGAGTCAGTTTTAGGTCATCAATTATAACCTTTTAGGAATTGGTTAATAACACTCTGGAAGTTGCTACATTTTAAAACACAGTTATATCACACTAATAGCAGCATTGTAAAACTTTTAAAAATATTTTGAGTGGTTGATTGACTAAGAAATGTTTTTATACAGGGAGGTCTGATAGGCTGAGTTAGGTAGTAATTCAACAAAAGTTGTCAACTGATGTCCTAGTTCTACTGACAATTCATGCTAGCATTTGTCCCATAATATCGCTACCTGCAGCCCTCAGAAACTATGGCAAACCACTGAGAGGTGGTACTGTGATTTCCCAAAGGGAAAGAAAAAAAATCTGCTGGGCAAACCTTCATTCAGGCTCAAGATCAACTCACTTCCAAATACCCCCACCCTTCAAAATGATTCCCCTGACGTTCTTGCCATGCCTACTTAGGGGATATTACTGTATCATTCCCATTCCCACTATGATCCTTTGGTGCTAATTCTTGTTTTATATCAAATCTTTGATTATAAAAAAATTAGCGCTCTCTGGATGATTTGGTTCAAATGTGATGCAATCTGTGCTGGACATGGGTGGGATATATCAGGAACAAATGGAAAGAGGGAGATGGTTCTGGAGAGGGCCATAGCACAGTAGTAGTGTATAAACATTGCATGCAGAAGATCCAAGAGTCATTCCCAAACATCTCCACTTAGAAGTTATTCTGCCTGGAGGTTTGAAAAGCCACTATTTTTCAGAGTAGACCAAACCAGATTACATGGCCTATGGATTTGATTCTGCAAAATACCTTCTTAAAGATCGTAATACCAACAAAAGTTAAAAGTTAAAAAATTTAAGATCTTTAAAAGAGTAACCAACACCAAGGTTTTTGAACTGTAGATTACACAATAGATCTCCAACAATAGGGGAGGCCAACCTTTGATATATGCGATATAGCCAAAAGGAGGCAAAAAGTTCAAATGAGGGATAGGAATTTTTAAGCAAATAGCACTTCCTATAGCTGAAATTTGCATGGACTGAAAGCTCTCCTGCACAGCACCCTCTAATCCCCATTGGGTTTATGGGGGCATCTATAACCTCACTGCCTCCATTATCCAAGGAAGTATTGCTACTCCATTTTATAGTAGTTAAGAAAGTGTGTGACAACCCAATGCAAATGTTGTGATTATGAACTCAACCCACAGATTCCCTGAGGCAGTAGTGAAAGAATGAGAAATGCTGGTTTAAGCAAAACCCCTAAATGCCTATGCATAGTAGCTATGATGGATTAAAAAAAAATCTTCTCCATATCATTAACTGAAGCAATAATTATCTTTAGACAATTAGTCAGAAATCAATTATATATCCATCAAATGAGCTCTTAAATGACTCTACTAGCATTACTAAGGCTCTAAGTATTATTACAGAAACATGTAGGTTTTTTTTTTACTATTTCCTTTCATAAATCAAAACATGTTTATTAATATATATATTTAAATATAAAGCTGACCTTCTTTTCAACACCAAGTTCATAAACAACTTCTTTCTCTTCATCTCTCATTATTGGAACCTTTGATGTATTACCAACAAGGACACGGCTACGAATAACAGGCAACAGGTCAAAACAAGCTTCAGAAATTTTTTCCAATGCTACAGTCACAGCCCACCTATCAGGATCCTCTGTTTTCTCCATTTCCAAAAGCAATTCTGAATTACAGTCACCTGTTGACTTAGTAGCATCCCCACTGTCCAGACAGTCACCATCAGGAGTGCCCCGTATGTCACCATCTGACAGCTCTTCCTTGCAGAGGTTCGGGGTAGATGACTTGCTATCTAGACGTGGTCTTTTGACACTTTTTGGCATTGTCACAGATGGCAACTTCCTCTTCCCAGTCTCATTCACACTGGAGAGCAGCTTCTCTGGATCAGATTTAAATCTGATCCCTGTTTTCACAAAAGCAGTTGATGTGGAAGCAATTGCTTTAAAGCCACTGATTTGATGGATACCCTTCCCATCTAGAGAACATGACCTACTAAATTGAATGTTACCTTTCAGGATATTGAGAGTTCTTGCCCGAGCAGATAACTCTGGATACATACTGTCCAAAATTTTCACTGAGTTTTCCTGAGGTACAGATGGAATGGAATTACAAGCTGTAGATGAAGGAAGTCTACCTGGAACAGGAAGGGCATGTTTGGGAGTGGTGGAACAAAACTGAAGAGGAGAAGACAAAATTCTCTGACCGACTGACATTTCAGTGGGTGATAAAGTGGTAAATGTAGATGATGATGATGATGATGATGATGAAGACTTGCATTTTGGGGTCTCTGACAGTGTTGATGCTAGAGGAGGAACTGGGGTTTTATGTAAAGGAGAAATCAATTCATCAAGTGGAGATGGTAAGGAAGATTGGCTTGAAATTGATGCTACAGGGGAAATGGGCTGAACAGTTCTTGGAGGGGTAGCTATCAAAGGTGGAAGCAAGGGAGGTAATGGCTGACCCATTTCTTGCATAATTTTTGTTAAAGTTTTTGGATAATATTTAGCTGGTGTAGAAGTATCTGCATTGGCTAGAATGGTTTCAGCTAGTTGCACAGGCTGATTTTTCCTTTTCCTCTTACAGACAGATATGCTCTGGAGAGGGCTGTCATCACCATCATTAACCTCTGCCTGTGCTTTAATTGTAACAGAGTTGAATGTCTGCTCTGCTCTATTCTTTGCAAAAGCAACTAGTGGTTCCAATTGTTCTGGTAGCACTTTTTGTTGATTATCATTAGAATTGGAAGACTCAGAGATAGGTGATATGGATGTCCAGATGGTTTTAGATGCAATACTTTGTTCATCATTATTTACATCATGTCTTTTGTTATGGGATGTATCAGTACTATCATCAATGTGACAAACTGTGATACAACTTTGCTCCAGACCTGAGCTAGATTCTGAAGTGGAAATGCTCTTTTTTTGTTCCACATTCAAATTTTCTACTAGTAAATCAGAGTGGACTTGCCTATCACTAGGGTAATTTGTATGCAGTGCAACTGAATCATCATTAACATCTGGATCACTTACAGATGACTTCCCAGTGTTCTTGTTATATAAGTCCTGACTTGGCAATAAAGTAATTGTTGAAACTTTTTTTTCTGTTTGCATCTCCTCTAACTTTTCTATTGCTGAGGAGGCTTCTATTTTTAAGGTTGTATTTTTATCAGTGCAGGACCATGCTGCTGCATATGAATGTTCCCATGTCTTTTCAATCACTTTACTCACATAGGAGCCACTGTCACCTACTTCAGCTTTTCTATCTTTTGAGCATTCCTCTCCTGTGACCACAGGGGACATCTCATGTCTAGCACCTTCTGAAAAGGTTGTACTGGGTAGAAGACTAGCTTCACTGTTTTTGATAGAACAAGATGTATCTCTGGACACTTCACATCCTGGATGTGTTTTTGTGCAATTCACCTTTCTTAGTGGATAAAATTCTTCAGATGAATCTGAGACAGATGAATCCATAACTGCAACAGCATTTTCTAGCATACTTATTTCATCTATTCCTCTAGACCTTATTTCAGTGCTCAATATAGTATCTGCTTTCTCAGCTGTTTTTTCATCAATATATTCTACAGTATCATTTCTTGACATCATGCCTAAATTCTTATCCCCGGGAATAAGAAGCTCCTCATGACTCAACAGCAATTTGTTTTCTACACAAGTATCTATGCTGTTAATATTGTTTGGACAAAATGCCTCAGAAGATAGGATTTCAGAGTTTTCTGTACTGCATCTTCTAGTAGTAACTGATGCCTGGGGCTTGCTGAAGGTGCCAACATTTTTGTCTTGTTCAAAGTCCATTTCATCTTTCTTATTACAACAATTGTGACAATCCCAGTTTATCTCTCTCAGATTTAACAGTTTATCTCCCTCAGATTCCACATTTTTTGACTTTTTATTCTTCCAATTTTCTTCAGAATCATGTTGATCAACCTTTTCTTTGTCAGGAGAGGAAGAAGCAATGCATTTTGGAATAGAAGATGGTGGGTTTGCAGCTTCAAAGTTTTGGCTATTTCTGCTGAAAAAATCAAAATTGACTTCAAAATTGGAAGTAGTGACATCCATGGATTCCATATTTGCCTCAGAACCACCTGTCACAATAACAGACAAACCTGATTCAATTTCTCCATTTTCTCCCTGTGACATATTTTGTTTAGGATGAACTGTATCTTTGTTCATGTTTTGCACTGAAGCTACTTCATTTGATGCAGAGAAATCATAATGCATCCCTTTCTCTTCCATGGCATACTTTTTTGTATCAGATAGCTCATTTATGATCATTGTGCTATTTTTTTCAATTTGTGAAGGTCCATGCATCAAACTAGGTGAATCTATGTTATATATAGTTTTAATACATGTTTTTTCACTTAATCCTGCTGTAAGAGATTGTACAGTACCCACTTCAGTGAGTTTCCTTGATTCACAATTTATCTCCATAAGCCTTTTTCTTACTGGATGTAAGTCTTCCATATAACTATTTAAACTATTCCCAGTTATTTCTACTTTGGACATGTTCTTAGGTTTAATGTCTGCATTTTCAACCTGCCCCAGTTGTGGAGAATTTTCAGTGACATTCTTCAATTCAAGGGACACATGACTTGCTTCAATAAGACTCTCAGACTTCAACAAAGAGTCTTCAGCAATAGATGTTTGGGTTGGTAACTTGTTGGCATTTCTTTTGCAAGCTGACTCCTCTTGTGGTGATTTAATAGATTTTTTTTCATCAAGTAACTGTTCTAATTGTAGGTATTCTTCCTTTTGTATGTTTTCTAACTTCATTTCCTCAGTAGTTCCATCAGCCACATTTTTTGTGGGCCTATCATTCATGGCTTCGATTATTTCACTACCATGATATGACGATTGTTTCAAACCAGCAGTTAATGTTGCAATATCTGAATTTAATCTCAAAACATCAGATAGTTCATTCTTTCCATTTATCTCATTTCCATTTTGTTTGTTGCATATCTCTTCTACAGAATGATGTTTATTGGATGCTTCCAAAGAATTAACATTCTTTTCAATACATTCTGTAAGTGTTATACTGGCACCTCGTTGCCGGACTTCCTCACAAAGATGATTTGTTTCAGGAAGGAATTTACAGTTACTGACATTCTTTGTTTCCTCTATTAATGGTTCACTATTTCCTTCAGTTGCTGTATTTTGTTCATTTACTGTTATATGTTCAATGTGGTTTTCACAAAGAAGTCTTGCTTTTCCTGAGTAAGGTTCTATCTGGAGGTCCTCAGAAATACTTTCTATCACTCTTCCTTCTTTATAACTAGACAGATCCTTCAAATTTTTAGAAGCCACTAGTGTGTCTTCAGCAGTTAAAATGGGTTCTTTGGTTTGGTGTTGCTCACTGCATTTGGGTGCTTGACTCCAATCATCTTCTTTTGTTTCAAGTAACTTTTTATTTTCCTCCTTTTGAATGAAGTCATTAGTCTCTTCCAGTACATGCTCAGTGAAGATTTGATCTTTTGTTTCTATCATGTTAATCATTTTTTCACTGAGTATCTCTGTACTAGGAGATACTACTTCAGATACTGTGTGTATTTGTACAAAGTCAGAATTTTCTTTTAAGTGCTTTTCTTCATCCTTTGATTTAGTATTGCTCTCATTAAGGTATTCTGATGTTGTGAACATAAAGTCAGATAATAGCACTGACTCTTCATTTTCTAATTTGTTTGATCTTTCACGTGGCTCCTGAGGATCAGTGTTTATACTGCTATTATTTAAAATCTGTGAGCAAAATTCTGTCAAATGCAGTGTTTTAGATGCTGGTTTGTCTTCATCACATTCTTCTATAATATTTTCAAGTGTTTGTGCATTCTGCTCCATTTCATCATCACTGGAGTCTGTGATGTCTCCAAATAAAGTATCCTTAAAGAGATAAATGTAAACAACACAGTAATAAATAATGTATAGATGTTATATAAACCAGCTTGAAAACTATATTGCTTAAAAAATATCAGAAATGGTTAGAACTGTTCTGGGCTGATCTGGCTCTGAAACAGGCTTACTATATTTCATCTGCAATATTGTGTCCAAAATACTTTAAATTGTTTCTAGTAAACAAGATTTTATTTTGGAAAATATGAACTGCTTCCAGAATTACATAGTCTGGAAGAAGTCCAGCAGAGCCCATAGAGAAAAGGAACATTCTGGAGTTCTCTGGAACAATCTGGTCCCACATCAACAAATTTTGCTTGGATAACTGCAGTGATAGAGCTGAAATAGTTTTTGTTCCATACACACTAATTCTGTCATAACAATTTTATTACTATCTCTAGAGAAAAGGCATCTATTCAATTTTTGAAACTCTTGTCTTTGAAAGAGTTTCTTTTTTTCTTTCTTGTCAAGAAAGAAGTTCTTTCTTGAAACCTATAAAGCTTCTTTACCAGAAATAACTGTTGGCTAGGAGCTCATCATGGATAACAATGGCTTTTTCATGTTACTTTTAGCCACCAATTACCTCCAGCCAGAGCTGTCTTGACATACTTTATGAAGTTAATCTAACTCATGAGATAAGTAAAATATTTAATTTTAATCCTTTTTTGGAACTTACTGGAGTAGCAGCAGGTGAAAACTGTATGGGAGACAGTAGAGGAGGAAGAGGTCTAATCCATTTCAGAACATCTCGCAGACTTTCACCAAACTCTTCCTGCTCCTTGTTGAGAAGATCCATGTTATTTGTTGCAAAATCTGCCTCAGCGAAAACGTCTAGACATCTGCCTTCATCAGAAGCACCACTGTTGTTGTTAGCTTTAGTAGTTTCCATAAATGTGTTTTCTATCAGACGACTATTTCCAGCAGGTTTTTTGTCCAACTTTATCTTCAATGATGTTGGAGAAGTTTGCATTGTAGAGGGCTCTGATGAACAACTAGAAATCCATGCTCCTTCAGATTTCTTCACTTTTTCAGGATTCTGCACTTTTTCTGTAAGACAAAAAAATGATTTATAATTTATTTTATTTCCATTTCCTGAAAGTTTAGAATAACAAAAATATACTTTTCAAAATGATTTGTGCCAGCTGTTTGTGTTAGTCAAAACACATTTTCATTTTTATTTTCATTCATTCATTCATTCATTCATTCATTCATTCATTCATTCATTCATTCATTGTCTTTCTGTTCAGGAAGAACCCACACATCAACTTATAGTAAAAACTACAATAGACATAAAACGAATTATAAATATGGAGGGGGCAAAAAAACAGGGAGGCATGCACAGAGTGTACATGCGCAACCAAGTTAACACACTAACCAAACCAAGGTTGCACTAACAGCATCTGCACAAATATAGTCTCCTCAGCATTAGCAACATAGAAGAAAAGTAGTGCCTGCAACACATGCCTTTTAATTGCCTGCTTGCAAAATAAAGCACAACACAAAACATACAGAATCCACCCCATCTGCTTACTTGAGTCCCAGTTTTACCCCAGCAAAGTTTAAAAACCCAAACCCGAAACCCAAACCAACTGGCAGGCCTGTGACTGTGATCATCAACTTCTGGCTGCTTAATGGTTTCTTTTCCCCTCAACACTCCACTCCCACGTCACCCTACCCTGCCTAATGCACTAACAATAGGAACACGGCTGATTACTGTTGCTGTCTTGGCTGAAAAAAGCTTGCCAAAAAGCAGACCAATCACAAGCCCAGTTGTAAGCAACAGTCCCACTGTGATGCAGGGAACAGCTGAAATACTCAGAATTCAGAACCCTTTAGAATAGCCCAGTTTTGTTTCATGCTCAGAACGAAACTGTCAAAATGCAAGTATTTTGCTTCATGCTTGAAACACTCAAAAAATGCTGTTTGAAGTCAGAACATATTGTGCAGCTCTTTCTATAACTTGTTGTAGTGTTATGCTCAGCACAGCTGTTTATATATGGGGAACCACTGCATGTAAGTGGAATTATAATTATGAAAATCCGTTATCAAAAGAGAAGCTGATTCCATCAGAATCCAAGAGGGAATCATGCATAGGAGAAGACATTAAGGTTAGTGTCACTTATAGGAGGAAACGTCCCTGTGATGTCTCCAAATGAACCCTTTCACTTTTCACTATTTACTCTTGGGCAGAAAAAGGAAAGGACTGCCCATTCCTCCCACCCTGGGGAGCCCGTTTCGTATCAGTATGTGCACACAGACAAAGAAGGTGCTACCTGCACTTTAAAGCTATTGCAGCATACACACCCCTCCTTAAAACATACCTCCTTTGAGCAAGTGTGCATTTTGTACTGTAAACAAAATAAAATCCCATTTCTGCAAAGACCAAACCTGGGGATCACATGGTTATTATCTCTACTCCAGAGTTTTATCTCCATAGATCAAGAGAGCTCCAACCAAGTAGGATGGAATCCCTTAATACGATTGTTTTTTCTAGAAGTGACAAGGGAGAGAGTGTAAGTACTAATCTTTCTTAAGCAGTGATAGCTAACCTTTGGGGGGTTTGTGGGTATGTATGGCATTTTTAAAGAGTGTCTTGGCATAACGAGGGTGGCCATATTTATTTATTTATTTGTCAAATTTATATGGCCGCCCATCTCATAAGAAGTGACTCTGGCCAGCGAACAACAAAAAAGCATAAAAACAATAAACATGTTCAACATAGTCATATTAAAAAAGTTAAAACACACACACGCACACACACAACATTCGATCAGCAACGGAGCCACCTCAAGATCTTACCGGTCCCCTGAAACCCCCAGGCCTGATGACAAAGCCAGGTCTTGAGGGACTTCTGGAAAATAAGGAGGGATGGAGTTGACCTCACTTTGGGGGAGAATGTTTCCTAATTGTTTGTGTCTGCTTTTCTCTTTCAGACAGAGAAAGACAGAGAGACAGACTAAAATGCAATCAGGCACAGACACACGGGACAGGCACACACTGAAAGGCTGACAGCAAATACACAGAAAGAACACAGACATACAGGGAGGTGGGTGGGAGAGAAAGAAGGGAAGACACGCAGAGGTTGGGCGGACATAGGGAAAGGAGACAGATAAACAAACGTTAGTAGGGAGAATGTTGCATTTTAGCCTCTTATTCAAGTGACTGGAGAAAGTAGCTCAGTTGGCCAGGAGAAAAAACTTCTCCCAGTAAATCATTCTGCAGATTTCATAGTTGAGGAGGGACCCCACCCCACCCCTACCAAATAGTGGCTATGGGAGGCTCCACAGACTAGCCAGGGAGCAGAGGATGGTGAGCTGTAATGCTGTGTTACTGACCCAAGCTACAGGGAGAAAACTGGATTTGTATGCTCAGTTTCTCAATCATCTCCATCAGAACATTAGAAAAGGAAGACAAAAAGAGAATGTAACAATTAGATTCCCAATTTCCTGGAGGAAAACCCCTCCAATACTTTGCTAATTTGTTTGTATGTTTTATAATTACACTTTCCACTGTAGAAATATTAAATGCCTATTGCAATGTCATTCTAAAATTACTTACTTGTCTTTCTATGTGTTTCTGAAGGATCATGAAAACCGGCAGTTGCAGAGGGGGAAAAAAACATAAGCGACTGTTACTTAGTCTTATCAAAAATACCAGAAGTTTTTTTTTTAATTATTTAAATTTCCTTTAGAGCTATGGTACTTGGTCTCACCTAACATGTGCTCACATTTGTTGATTTGCTTTTTTCCTGTTGAGCTTTCTATACATTGCCAGAGTTCTTCCAACAGCAACTTAATTTTTTCTGTAAAAGAAGATATCCACATCATTATAATGTTTACATATGATCTGATATGCTGGAACATGGCATATATGCAGTCCAAGACACTGATGAAAAGAAAATAAATTCAGGTGGATAACTGTGCATGTCCCTATACAAGGGCACGAAGCATAACTCCAAACTATTAAGGCATATGTATACCAAACAGGGAGCATATGTGTAGAATAAACACAATTCTGGAAACCTGATTTTTAGGGATGTTTGAAAAAGAGGTGTTTGTACATCAAAAAGTCAAAGCCCAAGGCCTAAAGGACAACACATTTACAAAAAGAATGGAAAATCACAGATATCTTGGACCCCGCTGAGTTCTTTCTACTGAATTGTCTTGCATGTATGATTGATGGACAGTATAAAAGTCATTATCACAAATAAAATATATTTTCCTTTTACTCAGTTGAATCAGCAATGAAAATGGGGTGTAAGAAAGAAAAGATTTCCAGTAGCACCAAGGAATATAGATCTATGCTTGAAGAACGCATATCATAAGACTTAAGGCAACCCAGAGAAATCCAAAATAGATATTTTATCAATATTTTAACACATAATAGAATCAGAATTCAATTCAAAATATGTATCCCTGTATATATTTTGATTTCATATAAGTGTTAAGTCATAAGGCTCTTTTTCCTTCTCTATAGCTCTCCTGAGTTTTGCACCTCCTTGGAGAATTCAGCCTATTGGTATCATAAACAATAGCAAGAAGTCAAGCACGTCAATTTAAATTGCATCATTTCCTTCTAATTTCTGCTTGTCTCTTCATTAACTAAACAATGAACCCAGAAATGTAATAAAGTAGAGTTTTCATCTGATTTCTTTCTTAACATTCCAATTCCTTTATTCTATGCTACTTGCATATGAAAGAAAATACACAGATTTAAGCCACATCACCTGGGATAAAGAAAAAAGATCACTTTAAGTTGACAAAGCAGGAAAGTATTTGAAAGTAAACTTTTTCCTTTGCTTTCCCTCTCGGACATCACCATGTGTCCAGTATGATTAATAGACACTTGAAAGCGTTTGCTTTCAAGGGTACTGATTTGCACTTATAAATGGTAAGGACTTAACGTTAAATAGTAATATTCTTAACCATTTCTATAGCTTGCTGTCTCTCACAGCCTTAGTCTATTGTGTTAAATTCAAACGGAGCAAACGGAGCATGGAGGAGATGTGTAATCATCACATTTTCACTGGTTAATAATTGCAAATAATTGATTTTGTGGGAGGAGTTGATAGGACCAGTGATTTAAGTCCTAAAATACCAAATAATCCCTATCTGCCATTTCTTTACATTTTTTCTTCCCAAATTCCTCCACTAGCTGCATAACCAACCCCAGGAATTTGCTCCTTTGCAACACTTGTCATTTACTGTATCTCCCGGTTTTCTACTATCACACTCTTTGTCTTCAAAAACGTGGCAATGTAGATTTTTCCTTCTGTTCCAATGCTTTCCACTCTTTATTATCTTCACAATCTCTACACTTGGGCTGCTGCTTTCAGGGGAACAGTGGGACAGCCTCTTTTTCCTGCTTCTAACTCTTAACATTTCAATAATTTGTATACTATTGTGGAACACAGGATAAATGTTAAGTCAAGAAATCCTTTGCAGCCTTTGGAAAATCTCCACTTCGATTTTGTGGCCCTCCTGCACGGAATGAACCTGGCCAATGGTTCTCCAGCTAAAAAGAACCACTATGTCATCATAGATCAGGTGACTTCCAAGGCCATCAGGAGAACGGCCAAGTATTCACTGACCTGGAAATGTGGGACGAAAAGGCCTAGCATTTACACAGTAGATCAGAAAGATTTGTCTTCTGGGAACTGCAGTGAATAAACAATCTATGTGTATATGATTCCATCTTGTCTGTGGTAAAGAGATTGTGGCCTAAGTAAAGGGTTAAGTGTCTGGAGACCTAGCTATACCCCAGACTGAAACCTGACAATCCATACATACCAAAGCACCAGAACTTTCTACTGAACGTGCCAACTGTATCAATTACCAAAAAACAGAAGAATAATCAACAGCAATTTATACAAGACTTATACATACCAACCTTTGTCCAAGTTGGCTACCAAATTTTCACTTTCACTCTGAGTTTCTGCATTTTTCAACACTGAGAGGAAAGAGAATCAGGTATGTCAGATTAAAAATTAAGCTGTGAATCAAAATAAAATATTTCCTCCTCCACCAAAAGAGAAACAAATCATGAAGAGTCACCTTTCTTTTGCTTTGTGTTGGGGAAGCCATCGATCTTTTCCTATTAACCAAAAAGGGGAGAAAAGCAGTTTAAATTAATGAATGAACATAATCTGGAGCAGTGACACTAAAAAGATCTTTGATTTGTTATCCTGTAACCACTAAAATACTTCAACGTGGTCCTTGTCAATCTTCCAGATGTCTTTGAAATCTACTTTTCAGAATTTCCACCAGAATGGTTATAAGCCATGCTGGGAAGGAATTCTGGGAGTTGTAAACACAATGTATCTGGAAAACGTCATATTAAAGAATGTTATTTTACAGGCATAATATCAAATTAGAAACACGTGGTTTAGGACAATTTATTCTTACATTTGTTAAATGGTTAAACAGTTGTTCTTTGCCACCACCACCCTCTCTTGTTTGTTACTCCCCATCAAAATTTAAGGCAAATGTTCTGTGGTTGGGGGAAACCTCTCCCCTTCATGTACACAAAGATATCATCCACCTTGGATATTTTTCAAATATTACCATTATCATCACAATGATAATGTGGTACTTGGAGTACCATTATTTTCGGCAGATGGCATTTCTGCTGCCACATTGACCACAAAAATAAGAAGCTATAAATCCAAGAGTTTAGACAGTTTCTGTCCCCATCCTGCATTAGTAAACTTATCAAAATAACACACATGTCTGATACAAAGGTGGGGAGGAAGAGAAGGTGTCCTTCAGTTGTGGGAATTGTGCCCAAGAGGGCACAAAACCTTCTTATGTCTCAAATGACTCACGACAACATTCATTCCTTATCTTGGAACACATTAAATGCTCCTATCATGTTGGATGACCACTTAGAGCTTAACAATACTACGAACCTCTATTTTAGTCTTTTTTTAAAAAAAGAAACTGTACACATATATTATTGTTTTAAAAAGTTACCTTTGCTTTCTTCAATTCCTTCTCAAGAACTTTCTTCTCTGCTTTCAGTTGCTTAAATTCCTGAGTGTGCTTTGCTGCAGCTTCTTCATTTAAGGGAAAAAAGTAATAAAAATGCATTAAACAACACAGATAGCTTTCAAAATTATGACAAAAATCTATCAGTGCACTTGGATGTTAGTACCTTTCTGTTTGGTTTAGCCTTCTAAGAGTTTATTCAAGGTTTGCAGCACTGAGCTCTGTACCAGTATGTATTTCATTAGGATTTCATCACACTGGATGTGTACAGCTTTGCTTTGTCAGAATCACAGTGAGACACGTACAGCATACACCAGCTCCACAGCTTTTCTCCAAATGTGTAAAGAAAAAAATCCATGTGCTTTAAGTGTTTTGGTGACTTCACAAAGCAGAATGATTCTTAGTCAGTAAGAGTATTTGAAACAAACTGCTTCTATATAATAAAGTATATGATAAATATGCTAAATGCATATCCAGAAATATGTTTCTTAAACATCTCACTATTTCCTCAAGGTTTCCTGACAGACCATAATATGTAAACATTGATGATAATGATTACACTATATATTTTCAGAATGCGATATACAGATTGAGATTTCTGCAGTAATTATTCAGATTAGTCAATCAAATTCATAATCTAAAATATAACTCGAATATGCAATTACAGGTAGCCACTTACTGACTGCAATTGGGACTGACGAATCTGTCGCTAAGCAGCATGGTCATAAAGCAAACATCACATGACCATGCCCAACTTACGATGTCAGTTCTGGCTGTGGTCATTAAGTGAATCACTGCAGTCATTTAAGTGTGACGTCACATGATGCGACCTGCGACTTCCTGCTGGCTTCCCCATTGACTTTGCTTGTTGAAAGCCAGCTGTGAAGGTCACAAATGGCAATTACACGACCACAGGACACTGTAACTGTCATAAATGTGTGCTGGTTGCCAAGTGCCTGAATTGTGATCACATGACCATGGGGACCCTGCGACAGCCGCAAGTTCAAGGACCGGTTGTAAATCTCCCTTTTCAGCACTGTCATAACTTCAAGTGGTCATTGAATGAGCAGTCGGTAAGCAAGGACTACCTGCATTAAAGTAATTATAAGTTGCATGTCCAATCTTAAGCACCCTGCACAGAGTTTCTCAAAGGCATAAATGGAATTTGAGAGTTAGCCTCTTCCTTAACTTTTAATACAATTCTATACATATCTGCTCGAGAAACTCAGTGAATGGGGCTTAATTCCAAGTAAATGGGTCTAGAATTTGGGGTTACTTACTTAACTTTTGCTGAATTATATTCCAAATTAATTACTAAAAATATTAAAGGTCTGCAAATATTACAATCTGTTTTTATTTAAAGCTAATAGCGCTTTCCAAATATGTATCAGAGAAAAAGGCATTTAAGAGCTTTCATTCTGGGATTCTGTACTGGATCTCCAGAGATAATCCTGTTTGAAATTACTGACCACAGTGGCATGGCTGAGCCACAGAGCTGGAGGTTTCAAACTTCATCTCCCAGAAACCCACTTTACACCTTGGCTTCACCCTATCTGTTTGGTCACTGCCTTGGTAGTTACTGCAACTGCCACCTATCTTTCAAAGGGCACATCGCCTGATCTCCTCCTCCTAAATCCAACGAGCTACCACAGCCAGTGTTTGTGGGGGTGTGGTTTTCTCCTTGGTAGTTTCTTTATTAGGATATTGTTGGCAGGGCAAGACAGGACACTGGCAGGGCAAGCTTCTGTATATAAACTGGGAGCAAACCCCACGCTCACTAGCACTGATGATGTTGCCTAGTTGAGTAATGAAACATCTGCAAGCAAACAACCAAGCTCAGAGAGCACCAAGGACTCCACAAAAAGGAAGATCTATTTTATGACTTCCTAAACCATTTAAATTTAATTCCTTACATATGGGGTAAAGTAAATCCCACCTGCTTTTCATACCTACTTTGTCAATTTAAAGAAAAGAAGGAAGAATTAAGTTGGAGACAACTGTTATGTATTTGTCCCCGTAGCCATCTATGGCAGTGCTTCAATTTTTGCCAGAAAGACAAAGCAATGAGAGAATGCTCCATTTTCTTCTCCATGAATACAAGAGCCTTCCATCTTTTTTCCTTTATTAATTTTGATATTTAAGCCAATTGTTAAATATTAGTTAAAAGCTGCTTTAACCCTAATTATACTGCATGACATTTTATTAAATATATTTACCTAATTTACAAGAATGAAGAAGATGGGATGACAAGCAAGGTCAATGTCTTTTCCCAGAAAAAAAAAAAAATTATACATTTGTGTTATGAGTTATGAAACATCACCCCACAACAAGAAGAAAAAAGACTGAATTACCTTCAAGCTTTTTCACTTTAGTTTCTAATTTCTTCTTCCTGAAAATATAAAATAAACAAAACTTTCATATACGCACATGAAAAATTAGCAAAGTACTCCCCCAGTATACTTTTTGCTTTTGTTTAATTTGAATAATCTATTAGGTTTAGTTCAAAGTTGCATCTTTGGCTTATTTCTGTTTCAGAATTTGGTCAGTTGTATGAGGTGTTAGCTGCCCACAATCTTCTTTATGGCTAATAACAATTAGGGTTGTGGAAACATTAGAAAGGGGAGCTTTACAAAATGTGGAAGTAGGAGTGAAGCACCTGTTCTTGAAGCATTAAAGCAGCCATGTCATTTGAAAGACCTCCACAGCTCCTTCAAAGGCTATCCTGAGCTATCTGCATATGTTGCATACGCATAGCCACTTTGCTTCTCTGGTGATCCCACTGGAAGTGTTGTCTGTGCATGCCCACAGACACGCTTCAAAGATGAATGCTTTACTCATGTTAGCATGCTTTATTGAGGGCCTCTTTCAAATGCTTTGCATATTCCTAATAAAGACTGCTCATAACACATAATAAAACATCAAGAGAAGCAGGAAGCAAAACTGGGGAGAAAACTTACTAACCTGGTTGGCAACTAGTTTGAGCTGTCTGCACAAGTGGAAGGTACAGAATTAAGTCTACTTCTCTCACCGAGCAAAGGTATCTGGTTATACTATTTACCATCACATAAGAGGAGGCAACGCATGGAAAAAGGGAATGTGTCCATCAGAGAGGCTTCATTTTGCATGGAATAGTTTCCTAAGTGCTATGCATCTCTTTATAGGGATTGTGTTTGCTTTCCTGTAAAAAGTTGGAATGTGTTCTGGTTTCACTGATGTGGAAGGATGTCGTTCCCTCTTATCTAATCTGCCCTTGCAAGTCAATAACAACCCCCACAAAGGCCCATCACTTTTTTTTTTTTTTACCTCTAACATTATAGGAACAGTTTGGATGATTATCTGAATTTTTTAATTAAAAAAGCTAAATACATCCACTAATTAGTTCCATTATAAGGACTCACACACTGTCACTTTTATCCATTTCTTCTTTCACTCGAACATATTCCAGATGAGTCTCTTGGTATATCTTAAGTGAACTCTAATTAAAAAAAAAATTATGTTAATATATACATTGATCTATATATGTACAAACACACAGATGGTAATCTCTGTGTTAATGTTGGAAGGTCTTGGATAATGCATTTATGCTTAATAATTTATACCATGGCTTTGCCAAACCTCTCATTACTGTATAATAATCAGTCATAAGGCACTAACATGTTTATTTTTTCTTTTATTTGGTGCATACATGACCACATTCGTTTGTCAATGTGCCTCCCAAAAGCACTGAAATCTTAGTGCTACATTTAGGGGCGGGGCAAGAGAAGGACTGTGGAATTACTACAGTAAGAAAACTCCACACTAAAGACACCCTGTCCACTCACCTAATGTTCACTGGTAACAGTCCTCATAGGATATTCACTGTGCAGATCTGTTATCAGCTTTTCAAATTAATAGAAATTCAAGTTACTGGGCAGGGGGACAAAAGCTCCCTGAGATCTGACTGCGGCCAATGAATATAGAGATTTTCACTGCATCTGAGTCACTAGGGGTCTGTTTAAAAAGCATCTGTCTGTGAACTATGCCTTCCGCTATTTCAGGAGTCCCACAGTTTTTCAGGCTGATACAAACACTGGGAATGTTGTGGGAATTCTTGCAAAATGGGTGACTATCCAGGTGGGTGGGTATGGCTACTCACAGTTTACCCATTTATCAGCAGGTAAACTAGTAAAGTTACTCCCTTCAAACCCTCTGAGTGCCCCGGATGCTTTCTCCCATTTCAGCTTCTATCTGACTTTTCTCTGGATATATGTCCAAACAGAGAACTGGCTTCTTATTTATTTTCCAAGAAAAAAACTTAATTAGAAAATAAAGACTGTTCTCGAAGTTGGTACTTTGCTTCAATCTAAAAACTTTATTAAAATGTATCAGAAATGGAATGGAGCCTGATGAGTGCCAAGGATGCTGCTGCTCAGCACACTGATGCCTGTATATTCCTCACTAGAAGGTCCAACAGTGTTCTAGGCATGAGATGGTGCAAGTCAGAAGAGAAGGCCAGTTGAGATAAGAGATAGACTTATGGTGAAGCAGCATAGTGAAGTATTAAATCTCCAGCAACCCACACTGCCTCATTTTCTTTTCTTGTAAGTTATGATTTACAACTGCTAGCCAACAAATGAACGTAGGCTAACTTTTCAAGCCCTAGTTCTCCTTTAAGGGCACAACATACTATGGAGGAGTTAAGGGATGCAAATTCCCAAGTAGTAATTTTTTTTGAACCAAAAGTTTATGTACAGGCTTCCGGGTGCAAATCATGGTCTATTATAATATTAAAAAAAACCAAAAATGCAGGTCTCTCTAAACAATATGGATCTGTATTTCAAAAAGAGGAAGCTACCTTTTTCTCTTCCAGCTCTGCTTTTACAGATCCCAGCTCTTCTTGACACTTTTTCAGAGGTGATATTTTCTGGAACATTTGTTTCACTTGGTGATGAAGTGTGCTGTTCTCTCTGAAATGGACACAGGAGACTTTACAGAAAGAAAGCATGGCTTTAAACAATTAGAAAAAACAAAACTTAAGCTCAATTGAAACTCTGTTTTGTGCATTCCTTCTGTCAAATGCCCAAAGAAGCAATAAAGCCACTCTTATAACAGAACATCCTATACTGTATTCAAAGGTTAATTCCACAGAAGCCACTTTAACATCACGCTATGCTGCCTTGGGGAAGAGTCACGCTATAAGCAACTATTAATACCCAGAAAATCGTACAACTCAGAACAGTGGAAAATTGAAATGGAATAAATTCTTACCTTTCAGCAAACTGAAGCTGTGCTGACTTGTTAAAGAAAACTGGACATGCAGAATTGTTTTTGTTCTTTGTTACATATACTAGAGCAGGAAAAAGGGGGAAAAATAAGCCCTCTCAAAAGAGAACAGGTTTCTTGAAAGAAGTGTGAATCCATATTAAGGAGAGATAGAATATAATGAGAAACTTGGGATGCTGCCTGGATTTACAAATGAGGGTTGTTAAAACTTGAAGAAACGTTTGAGATGGGAGAAAGAAAAACTGAAGGGAGATCAAATCCTATGACAGCATCTGAATGAATTAAGGACTAAGACTGTTAAAAGCAAAAGGAAAGAATACAAAGTCAATTTATTTGATCAGGGTTAAAATTTCTTTATAAAATTCTGGGAATCCTTTAACGGACTTTTTGCTGACATCTGGATAGAAACATTAACGATTCATGGATTTGCAAATGGATAATTGATGGATTATGGGAAGAAGTGTTCCATGTATGTAATCTTTTAGGGGCTGAAGAAATATTAAGTTTGTATCTGTTGTGATGAAGATCAGAAGTCACTTCTTTACTTATTACTTTTTTTCCTTTTTTCCCCTTTCTTTTTTTCTTTGCACTTTTTATTTCCTTTTTTCTATTCTTTTCTCTCTTCCTGATTTCAATTTTATTCTTTTATTATTGTTAAAATCCTTAATAAAAATTATTAAAAAGAAAACCTTAGGATACTGCATAGCATGTAAATAATTTCAGCTTGTCTCTCACTCTCATGATGTTATGCATTTTCTGGCCTCTAGATGAAAATGTGAAATCCATAAATTTAGGACAGTTGTCTAAATTATAAGTTAAACTACATTTTTACACTTGGGAACCAGCTTGAGATTGTGCTATTTCCAGAGGCAATTCTCATAATTATGTTCCTCTCTTTTTGCCTACTTAGAAATATCTGCAGCAGTACATCACCAGAACTGTTGTTCTTTTTTTTCTTTCCTGATGAGACAATTTATAAGTTAACAGTCATGGATAAAATGGATTTTTTTTTTTTATAAAGGACATTGGAATCTGTTTGAAATGAAACATATAAAGAGCTAGATTTCCTTCGACAACACAGTTAAGCAAGAAAGAATTTCCTATCACTGTGTATCTTGAAGAGAGTCCCTATTTCATTTTATTTCTTGGACAAAAAACACAACTCTGGGTGGCTAACAAAATTCTAAAAACACATAACCAATGAAATAGAAATAACAACCAAAGGCAAGGACAAATATACTACAGCAATGGAGAAAACCAGCAACAAACCCACTGGGGCTCAACTAATTTCTCAACTCCCATGCCAGGGAAAATAGCCAGGTCTGAACAGCTTTCCAAAAGACCAACAGGGTTGGTCTAATGTCAGGTGGCAGGGTATTCCAAATGTCAGTTGCTGCAACAGAAAAGGCACTTATATGCAACAGAAAATGCTTTTATACCTAAACACTTTCATGATTGACACACTACATACGAATCTTTCATCCTACAGTGGAATTCAACCATAATACTACTGTACTTTGGATTTCAAGAATGCAAAGGTTTCAGAAACCTTCACTTGGTGATGTTAAAAATAATCTTATAAGGTGAACCATTAGCAACTGGGGGAGGGGGAATTCTTAAATACCAAGATGCAAGACGCAAAAGATCTCATACTTGCCATAACTCTTCTTAATTCAAGCTCATAGCCACTGCACTCTCTCTTAAAATATTGCACATAAAATGTCACTTGCACCCAAATAGAAAAATGGGCTCCCTTATAATTTCATGTGTCCTACAAGAATTCAAGGATGGGTCTCCTTAAGGCTTTCCTCAGTTTCTGAACTTCTTTAAGTGAGGTTCAACATGCCTTTGCTTCATAGTAATGGGGAAATATATTTCTATACAGATAGTTCCTAAGCATGATAAGTGGTTACAATTACTGTACATGTGCCTCAATTTGCTCAATAAGTTATTATTTTTATCAATTCTCTTGGTGGATTTTTATTTGCCTTGTTTTGATTTTTTGTCTTTTTCTCTGTACTGTATCATTTCTAGGTACCCTGATTCACAAACTAAAATATGGTGGTGGTGTTTATGAGGACTGTATCATCACATTCTGACTTTTCCCTTAATCCCTGCTTCTTTACCAGCAGACATGCATTTTAAATTTTGTATAAACGCATCTGCATTCAATGTGTTAAAAAAAAAATCACATGAAGTCCCTTTGGAATCTAGCTTGACGGTTGAAGGGTCAGAACACTACAGTAACAACATATATAGGGTGGCTCTCGCTTAATGGATCTTTTGTATAAGACCCCCCCACACACACACACCACACATTCTCATTGTCATGGAAACAAGGTATATGTTTTCTACCAAAGTTGTTGTGGCTGCTACTCCCTATTTAACTGCTGCTGCCTGATGCAACTCTGGGTAATCAAAGCCCAGACAGATTACACCAGCAAGATTTCAGAAATCAGAATGAATAAAATATATAGTATATACAGATCAGCATCCCATCACAACACTGCTCATCACTTATTATAAGTTTCTGATGCCACTGTTTAAAATGCTAGAATTCAAATTTCCCACAATAAAGTCAGGCATTGCAGTTTTTTTAAAATGCAGAAAAGGATATCACTGCACTTTTTTTGGTACTCTGCCAGTAGGTGGCTGTAAGAAAAGAACAGGAGAAGAATTAGATGAAAGTCCACATTTGACAAACAAACAAGACAAACTGCTGGCTGGCAAAGAGGAAAAAAAAAAAAAAAAGAACTCAAGAGACCAAAGCCTAAAAACTGCATAGCTTAAATATTGTTGTTTCTGGTGTACCCAGAAAATGGTCTCTTATATTTAGAAGAAGAGAAGGATAGGCATTCTTTTTTTCTTCTGAGCAAGTATCAGATCTTCTATATTAGTGTGTCTCAACCTTGGCAACTTGAAGACGTGTAGACTTCAACTCCCACAATTCCCCAGCCAGCCATGCTGGCCAGGGAATTCTGGGAGTTGAAGTCCACACATCTTCAAGTTGCCAAGGTTGAGAAACACTGTTC